TGGGCGGGGACCGGCCGCTCGGTATTTCTCCCTGGAGAGATACCGTGGTCGACCAGGAAGTATTCCTGCCGTGCTCGGTTGGCGTGGATGAGAGGGATGAATAACTTGCCGCAGCTGTGATTCCTTTCATCAGAGTTTCCATGTGAGTGCCTTGGTGTTAATTTTTCCTCAAAAGGCACGAATCTGTGTCCTTCCCAGTTGTGATGAAATAAAGCTCTCCCAGCTGTTAGCAGCGGCAGCTTCTTTGCTTTTCCTGTGCATCACGTTCCGCTCGGCTGTTGTGTCGTGAAGGCGCAAAGGGAAGCGCTTCCACCTGCAGCCCAGTGAGCGTGTCTTAATGCAAGTGATGAAAACGGCATTAACGCTTTTGGTACTTACGCCTTTGGTTCTGTCTTTCAGAAAATGGCAGTTAATGTGTATTCTACTTCAGTGACTAGCGATAACTTGAGTCGACATGACATGCTCGCGTGGATCAATGAGTCTCTGCAGCTGACGCTGACAAAGATTGAACAGCTATGCTCAGGTAAGGGGGCTCAGCGTGAGGGAAGTTCCAAATTTGATGTGCACCCTAGTTCTGTAGAGGTACAACTGCACCGTGGGAACCGTCTGTGCTGGTCCTCTATAGCAACGCTGTTGGCCAAATTCTTGGTATGAAGAGATTCATGGTCAGTGTTGTAACCTGGTTATGGTTAGAGTTTTATTGAAATTGTTGTTAATAATGTAAGCATAATGAAAAGACATATTCTTCTGCCTCACTGCAGCCTAGAAGAATGGAGGTTAATGTGAAAAAAAGACTTCGGAGAGGGTGTTTTCCAATGAGGAATTAAGCATTTAGTCTTGATGGATAGAGTAAGTTGTACAAATGTAGTAACAAGTGTAAACAAATATGATTTCTTATGGAAGAGAACTACTGGGAGATTTGGGAGGTGCCTGAAAGATTGCTGATGGGCAGAAGGAGCAGCGTGAGGAAGGCATACTGGTGACGCTTCACCTTCAGAACTTTGTAACTCCTTATGGTAAAGGAGCCTGTCGCTCTGTGTCACCCCAGCTTGCTTTGGCTTGAGCTGACTTTAGCAAAGCTGAATCTCGGATAGAGTTGTAGGCAGAAAAGGGGAAGTGATTGTGGTACAGAAATGGAGTCAAGTGTCGTCATAGGCAGGAGTGTGTGTGTGGGAGGAGGCTTGTAGAGGCAAATAAAAGATAATAGTTTATGGAGTAAAAGCTGAAAAAAACCCAAGGCTAAAAATGCAGCCTAGGTAAAAGATGGTGATTTGGACAGCTGCAATAGGCAGGTGAAAGCGACTTGGTGAAAAGTAGAAGTGCAGCTTGTGCAATCACTTTGAGATAAGGTGTTGCTCACAGAATGAGATGTGGAAATTGGAAGTGGAATAAAAGGAGGAAGAAATTTAAAATAAGTTTGGGACTGTCAATGCAACCTGTGGGTGAGTCTGTGGAAGAAACATTGACAAAGATTACAGAGAAGCAGGGAACTTAAAATAGACATCTGACGGGTATTTGTAGTGGCTTTTGTCTAGTGAGATGATGGAGAAAAACTGTAAGGGTGAAGGAACTAAAGATCTACAACCACAGAAGTAAGGAAAGTGATAAACACTGTCTGCTTTTAGATAGGCAGGTTAACCTGTTGTGTGCAGCATTGATTTATACGGCTGAGAAGTTTTGCTTAAAATTGGTGTGGTCTTGAATGCTGCGAGAGCTCTGTCTCAAGAAGTGAGGATAATTAGTGCCTGCTCTGCAGAATTTCAGCTCACCTGTTTTCAGGAAAAGGCTGAGACCTGTTGATGTGGTATGTGCTGAGTAATGTCCCTTTCCCGTGTCTGCAAAAATACTTCATGCCTCTGCAGGTATGGAAGTGGCTTTCGCTGTCTGTCATAGTCATGTGAAAGCAGAAGTTTCCAAGCTTGCTTTGCTACCTTTGGCAAGGGCAGTAGTGACAGCAACAGTTTGAGGTTGCATAAATGCACAAAAGACGACCTTTGGCTTATGTTGCAATCTCTTTCCTTTTTTTTTTAAATCATGTGTATTGCTCGGACTGCCAATAGTTAGCAAAACGCTGATTTCTGGCAAGTCATCTATTTTTGATCTGGGCATTGCAGCTCTTCAGCAAGTTGGAGATCAAACAGCAAGATTTTGTGGCTGGTTTTTTTTCATTTGCGCCAGTGGACGAGCAGCAGTCTTCTAGTAGCAGGTGAAAGTGGGACCCCCAAAGATCTGCAAAATATCTTGACAGGAAGTGAATAATATAAGACTTTGTTACCTGTGGCTGAGATGAATAGACTGAATAAGCTGAAGGAGGGTTGATTTAGATTAGATGTTAGAAAGAAATTCTTTACTGTTAGAGTGGTGAGGCACTGGCACAGGTTGCCCAGAGAGGTTGTGGATGCCCCATCCCTGGAAGTGTTTAAGACCAGGTTGGATGAGGCTTTGGGCAACGTGGTCTAGTGGAGGGTGTCCCTGCTGGCGGCAGGGGGGTTGGAACTAGATGATCTTTGAGGTCACTTCCAACCCAAACCATTCTAAGACTAGTTTAAGGCAACACCATAATGTGTTATTTCTTGGCCTCTAGTTATCTCACAAAAGCTTGTTGTGTAGCTGTTTGTTTTAGGTTAAGGTTGCCATTACTCTCCATTGATATTGGTGGGGGGAATAATGCTCAGAATGTTGTATTTGTGTTTTCACTGGCAGACAGTTGCATATCATCACTGCAGAGTGAGGATATAGTTTAAAAATATCTTTTTTTCTTTTAAATGGGTGTGTATATTCTGCAAAAGGTAATTTTTTGGAGGTGGTTGTGTACTCTTTGTGGCTGAACTGAATCCCTCTTTTGCTGTTATTACAGTAAGAGCTGAATTGAAGGACACGAAGGATTTAAAATTAATAGAAAGAAATGCTGTCTCATTTAAATTCTTTGATTAAGGCAGCTTAATTTGGCCTCTTACCTTTGAGGGCACCTTGAATTGCATATAGGTTCTGTTTGTAGCAAGTAAATGTATCACTATTTTCATAGTAATTAAATACAACTTTTAGAATAATTATTTTTCTAGTTTAGTTCTGTCAGTGTTGATAAGAGTAGCTTCTGTGCCTGTTGGACACATGTAACATCTCAGGCTTGTACTGATACCCATGAGGAAAGGAAAGTCAAACTACTCATTGGATTTTTTTTTTTTCTCTTGAAATTATGGAGGTAATATTGCTCTTCATAAGAGTTCAAGTCATGAACCCAAAAGTTTGGTTCTGTAGCTCACTTGAGCTTATTTATGGCCATGCTGCACCAAAACAGGACACTGAAGGTTCCTGTTTTCTTGCTTTTGTTGCCTTTAAGGGATTGTGTAGCTGAGGAATGAGTCAGGTCAGTTTGCTGATCTGACTAAAAAGTAACTTACGTAGGCTAGTGAGTGGACTTGATTCATTGTAGGATTTGTATTCTTTTTCTTTTGGCAGGTGCTGCATACTGTCAGTTTATGGACATGCTCTTCCCAGGTTCTGTAGCGCTCAAGAAAGTGAAGTTTCAAGCAAAATTGGAACATGAGTACATTCAAAACTTCAAAGTCCTACAAGCAGGTTTTAAACGAATGGGTGTTGACAAAGTAAGCTGGGTTGTAACTGGTTCTCTGTGCTCTTAATGTCGAAGGAAATGGAACGTACTTTCAGATTTAGAGCTGAAAAAATCTGGGAACAGGGTTTGCTTTTGGTCCGTAAATCACAAAACTCTTGGTTTTGGTTTGCACTGGGGTCCTCACTTGATTTAGGACAATATCAGCTTTACTCCTGCTGAGGTTAGGTTTCCAGTTCTTAATGATGAGATGAACTTTTCCGCTTTAATTCTGTGCAACTTATGTAGCACAGAGTAATACTGAAATTTCTGTGAGATAAGGTTTACTTGAACTTCCTGTTTGAACCATCTTTGTACCAGATATGTTCCTGTAACCTACTGGTATAGTAGTCCTAAGGATTTCAAATTCCTCTTTACAAGCATAAGTAATTTTAAGCTAGTGAAAATGAGATCTGCGAAAAAGACCTTTTTCAGATTGAATTATAGTTATGCTTATGAAAGGGTGTTTTATCTAGGTAATAATTGCTGACAGCATGTTTGGTATGATGCAGAACACTTCTGTGTTAAAGCTTTTTCCTGTCTTTAAGACGGCGTCTCAGTCCGTGTTGGCTAGCAGCTTCAGCACACCATCGGTCTTCTGCTTGGGGAAAGCAGCTTGGGCAGCCAAATGCCAAATGATCACGTAATGACAATGGCTCCTGCTGGGTCATGGACTCTCAGCTTATGGCCTACAGACAAGACTTCACAATTTGCTGCATCTTTTTAATAATCTTCACTTACACTCCTCATTCTAAAGAAACTGTAATTGTAATCTACTAAAAAGTCGATGTTTAGATCTTGTTGTATGTGTTAGCAGTCTATGAAACTGGTCAGCAGTTCAGATTCATGAAACCTAGCACTGGATGAGCCAGCTTCAAATTTACAGAAAGAAGTTTTTTGTTGAAACTTGGTGTAGCAGAAACCTTGCTGCAGAATTATTTAAAATTATTTGGACCCTCACAATGAAAGCATAATTTGTTTTTAGTTCCAATTATTAGCAACAATCCTATTATTTGACAGTTATGTTCAAGGATGATTTTCTCTAGACTGGACAAAGATAAAACTTCATATAAAAAGAGAGGGAGAGGTTCTTTACCCTTAATAAGAGTTTGACTTTTTTTTTTCCCCTCCAGATAATTCCTGTGGACAAACTAGTGAAAGGAAAATTTCAGGACAACTTTGAATTTGTTCAATGGTTCAAAAAATTTTTTGATGCAAACTATGATGGGAAGGAGTATGATCCTGTTGCTGCCCGACAAGGCCAAGAGACAGTAGCACCAAACCTTGTTGCTCCAGTTGTGAACAAACCCAAGAAATCTCTCAGTTCTAGCAGTGCAGGTAGAGAAAATAGTTAAAAGATTATCTAGATCATTAAAAACTCTGGGGAAAATAAGACTGGGTTGCTATTTAAAATCAGTGTATGAAATTACAGTATTTTGCATCTTGTTTCAGAGATGCTAAGCTTCAAACACTGAGTCATCCTGTAGTATCCGGTTATCTGGAAACTACAGAAAGAATAATCCTCTCTAAAAGAGAAAAGTCAAAGGATTGGTGCCAACACATGCCAAAAAAAAAAAGGACACGTTGCATGGAGTCAAGAAGAAGGAAGGAACATATTTTCAAATTCTTACATGCATGCCTAAGCATGTTTGGAAGGGGGATAGTACTGTTATAGGAGGAAGAAAGATGTTCTGAGAGGAACTAACACTGAATTAATCTTGCAGCCCCACAGAGGCCCATTGTTACACAGCGGACCGCAGCAACTCCGAAAGCTGGTACTGGAATGGTCAAAAAGGCTGCAGGAGACGATGAATCAGCAGGATTGATTGAGCAGGTGTGTTGACCAAAATTGCCTCTTTATAGATTTATGTGCAGATTTTTTTTTTTTTAATAGCATGAAATGACTGGTCAGACAAATGGAAGAAAAAGATCCAGATCTAGTAAGCTCATTTCAAATCACTTAATCGGAAGCCTTCATTATAATGGTCTTGCTCTCCTGATAGGAGCAAAACCCTTTCAGTGGTACATGAGTATCTAGACATTTAAACCTAGTATGTGCCATATCACACATAGCATTGTTTTTAAGTATTTCCACAGCTGTGTTGCAGCTATCACAGCATTCCAACTGAGCTATGAGCAGCTGCTACTTCACTGAAATACTGAATGTAGTACAACTAAAACTGCCATCAGTGTGAGAGTTGTCTTGAAAAAATGTGTTAGCAAAGAAAACTGCAGGCAGTTAGCGCTTTACCTATTTCATGTAATAAACCTTTAGAATTTCCCAGCGTATTGCATGTGTTGGGCTGGGTGTTTGTTATGGTAATAATATTACATATTGATAAATAGACCTTTTCCTTCCCTCACAGTCCCCCCTTCCCCCCATCTTCATTACTTCTTAAGTGCTTTGCATGTTAACACCCTTCTGAGAACTTTGGGGCTCCTGCCTTTTGAATCGATACTACTGAATTCTCTCTTCAGTGGATAAATTATTGACACTCTTTGGCAGATCAATGTATTGAAACTTACTGTTGAAGATCTGGAGAAAGAGAGAGACTTCTACTTTGGCAAATTGAGAAACATTGAATTGATCTGCCAGGAGAATGAAGGGGAGAATGATCCAGTGTTGCAGAGGATTGTGGAAATTCTTTATGCCACAGATGTAAGTAATCTGGTATAAATTGTATTGCATAGTTCCTCCCTCCTCTTGTAATTGGAAGCTGGTTTGCTTTCCAGGGCTCCCTCTATTTCTAGTTTGGTTTTTTTTTTTTTTTTCCTTTAGGTTTATGGCCTAGCTTTTTCCTGTAATAAAGGAACAGATATCATAATTATAGTCAGGCAGCAAACAAGGTTAGCCTTTCATGAAGAGTTTCTAATGAATAGATCAGATGAGGAAAATAACTCGTAAGCTATCTTGACACTGTAAAAGGTGACTTAAGGGTATCTATCCTAAGTAAAAGGCTGGGGGGAAAAAGCATACATAGTAGCCAGGAACTGGTTTGACATTAGATTTTCATTAAAGCACTTGTTTTCTTTCCCTTCAGGAAGGCTTTGTGATACCTGACGAAGGAGCACCGCAGGAGGAACAAGAAGAGTATTAACAGACCACATACTGTACCAGCAGAGCAGCAACATCAGAATTCTTTGCCCCAGATCATGTGCTTAACTGTAAAATACTCCACTTTATTCTTAGAGGACTCACTGGTTTCTTTTCATAAGCAAAAAAAGTACCTCTTCTTAAAGTGCACTTTGCGGAAGTTTCACTTTTTACAGTGGGTTTGAGTTAGGAGCTCTTTCTCACTTTGTAGCAGAGCAGTATTCACATCTAGGTGGTATATTTAGGGAGCAAGAGGCTGAATATTTGGAACTTGTTGCAGAATGGTTTGCTGGTAAAACACTGGTTTGTGGGAAGACTCTTTTTGTATCTAAGGTGGTGTGTAGTAGAGAAATTAAAGACTCTGACTCACAGAAAGATTGAGTTAATGTGAAATTGCAGCACAGAAATTATAATAAAATGCCTTAAGAGTATTTAAAATACGCTTCCATATGCCAAATTGAAGTAATGTGACAGGAGATTTTATGTGCTTCATATTGGGGTAGACGCTTGTTTAACTCCATTCACTGCTGTCTGAGAGGCCTTGCATGGCAATCTCACTTTGTCAGCAAGTGCTCAAAAGGGGCTATTAAAACAAAACGCCATTCCTATGTAAAGCTGCTTACTAAGTGATTAGTTCTCGATGAAATAGGCCTTAACGTTGCCTGTCACAAGATTAGAGGGAGTATGAACAGCTGAGACACATAAATTACCTTGAAGAGTGCTAAAGGCTTTTTCTATGACATTGTGGCTAATGACTTTGCCAAAATGTACTGTGTTTTCTGTAAGAAAAACAAAAACCAAACAACAACAAAAAAAACCCACAAAGGGCATCCAGTCTTACTGCCTAAAATGTTCTTCAGAAGTAATTTTCCTTCCTGGCTCTTGTTTCTGGTTGTCCTGTTCCTCTTTATTTTTGTTGGTATACTTTTTGGTTTCTCACTTGTTCTTTTCTCTTGCAAATCCCAAGGAATGCTGATCAAATCCAATAGTTGTAACAGGACTTGCACTGTGCAACTATCTTAGAATGAAAATGAATTGAGCACATGAGGATGATGATTTTTCTGTCTATTTTCTTTCTTTTTTTTTTAATCTTTCAAACCAGGGCATGTCTAATAATAATACTTGCCAGTTCAGTAGTCTTCTGGGGTAAAAACTAAAAGATGCTGGCTAACAGAGCTAATGTTATTGCAGAAAATACAGTACTGAGACTAACTTAAATATTAATATTTAAAGTACTTTCCTTAACTGTCCTTTTTTTGCTATCATACCCCTCATTCCTGTTGTGTTTGGCAAGATCCTGCAAGACTTCTGATCCCCCTTCACTACTGAGATTGATCAGTCCTGTTGTGCTTGTATTCATTTGTTTCTGGTGGTAGCTTGTCCTAAAATGTGTGTAGGAGAGCATTTTATGGTAATTGTTGTGTAGTGCATGAATCTTTGTGAAATTCAGAGAAAAACCCAAATTCAGTGAATGCCAAAAATGCAAGTATCTAGCCATTGTTTAAAATTGCAGTGGTGCTATTTCTCTTGTGGCCTTTTAGACTTTTGTTGCCCTAAAACTCCATTTTACTGAGAAACCATATTTGACTTGGATTTTTCTTGACAGGGTTTTTCTATTTTGAGCAGTTTCTAAATAAAGTTCTGTATTTCAAGAGTGTCATGTCTACTGGAGTCTCTCATGCTTTCAGATACGATTAGGCAAAGCTAAAGTTCGTGATGGTTTTCATGATGAAGCTTGCAGGACCTGGAATATCAGCTTTCATTCTCCAGTCCTAGTTATAGTCATTGCTCATTTGAGCAGCAGTAACGTTGAAACTTTCCTTGAAGTGTGCTGGGGGAAACCATTGCTTGAATTTTGGGGGTTTTTTTTGTTTTGTTTTCTTCCCCCTTCCACAAGTGGATGATATGTGAGTGTATTGTCGGCTTCCTCCTTCTAAGGTTGTGAAAATGGGGCTGTATATGAAGAGCATGACTTCCAGTATGCTTAAAGTGTTTTAAAACTGCTAAAACGCTGGTTATTAGTTATAAACAAGATGTTAGTTGCATGTCAGCAGTCTATGAGCAGATTGGCTGTAAACTTAGTTGATTTGTTTCATTTGAAGTGTGCTTCATAGATGAGCTTAAATGTTGCTGTCACACATATGTGCTCAGACCACCGTCTTCACTGCTTATGTGATGTATCTAACCTTGAAATTGGAAGTGTTACCTGCAGGCCTTCTCTGTCATGCTGGAGAACACCCTCCCTGCCCCCAAAGTGCTCTCTGGATGCCTTATTCTAAAGAACAGGCGTTGCTGGCGTTGCCTGCTGGTATTGCAAAACTGGGGTTGGGCTACAGAAGTGCAGACGTAGAGTGGGGGTTTTGATGCACATAAAATCTTCTTCACCGTTACTTACTTGCTTTGAGGTTGGAAGCATATTTGTTTCGACTCTAAATATTCTGTTATTCCAGTAACTCAAAGCAAAAGATGGCAATAGTACATGGCTGAATTTGAAGAGGACTTCTCGAGCGCCTGCTCTTTGCAGTCCAGTTGCGCAACTGGGACCTGGTTGCTTCGAGTCTCTTTTTAACAGGATTGCACGTGTGGAACTGTGAAGCACCCAGGTCATCGGATGGGTTGCATTAGGTTGGTTTTTATCTCTGTTAGCAAAGCAAGCAAATATCCTTTTATGCTAAGAGAATGATGAGTCAGAAATACTGCTAGTGCACCTTGTGAGACTGCTGAATGTGTGGACGTGCATTACAAAACTAAATTGAAACTGCAGTCTGGTAAGTCAAATGCTGCTAAGATTTCTAGTTGCTTACATCACTACTTTGCTACCAAGATGAGTTATAAATAGAATGGGGACAAACTCATGTAGTCAACTTATGACTGTTATGCATGTCCTGGCACAATCTGTTTTTTAATGTCCTTTTTGGGAAGAAAATAACAATAAGTCCAACTCAAACCCATAGACTTAACGTAGCTACTCTGTTACACTGGTACAGTATATGCTGTTAAATGCTCGCCTGCTGGAACAGTTCTGATAGCATCTGACCTTTCTTAGTATCTTAGTTTTATCAGATATTTGAAAAATTAACAGAATGGAAGAAGCAGAAGCTCACATCTCCTTTCTGTACCAACATGTCTTACTTGCAGGTGGACTTGTGGATGTTTTTTTAACTTTTATTGTTCAATTTTTAAAAAAATCCCTGGTTTGCAATGACAATTCTTACTGTAACTGTTAAAAGCCTTCAAATAAAGGCCAAGAACTTACTTGCTGTTGTATCATATCACTATTTAATGTGACTGCTTGAGCACTCGGTCATCTTGTAGCCTGTCTAGTCAAATGTCCATTCACAGGAACGTGCGTGTCCTTCAGGCGTGGGAGTTTCTCTTTCTTAGAACATTCTTCCAGGGATAAGGCTGGAATCCACTTCTCACAAGAGATATTTTTTTGCAAGTCAGTGTGTAAACCTAATGAGGACTGTACTGTAGATTTCAAGCTAGCCTGGTGGTACGCAGACCTCTCAATTTCTATGCTATGCAAGAAAAAGAGAGGATAATAATACGAGCTTAACATTTGGGCTCTTATTGCAGGGGCTGCAACAGCCCAGGTTGCTGGCAGAGGTACAGGAACGTGCATTGGGGCACCTGCACTTTGTTAGCAGCACGGCTGAAGAATTTACTCATCTTTTAATGCAGAGAAAGCAAGGAGAAACAAAGTCATTGCAGATCCACGTCCGGTTAATTGGAATATGAAATTGCAAGCAGTTTGGACGAGCGTATGCAATCCTGTGCTGATGGTGCTTAGAAATCAGGGAGCAAAAATGCAAACTGTGGTTTTGCTGAAAGGAGACCTGGATAAACCCCGTTGGTAAGTAAGATCTCCTGGGATGAGATTTTGTGCCTGTGACTGTTGGTTCCTCACAGAAATTGCGTTTGGATGGCTAATGGGCCTGGAATCAGAGGAAGGAAGGAAGGAATGGTGTTAAACAAATGGGACTAGAGAACATGAAAGGTATGGAAGTAGAAATTAGAGGAGGTTGCAGTTATAAAGGAACAAGATAAATGCATAGGAATAAAACCATGCTGTGAAGTGGTGCAGATAAAACTGCGAAGGAATCTGATGTGGGAGAACACTTTTAAGGAAAGGAAGAAAAAGTGAGGTATCCTATGGCTAAAGAGGAATAACAGGTGCACAAATACTGGCCAGGGAATGTGAGGTTAGGTAACAGTACTGCAGAAAAGGAACTAGTTTTGATACAGGCAAAGTCCTCCAAAGAAATGAAAAACAAAGGGGTTTTCTTTTTTGAGTAATACTTGTTAAATTGAAGGATCAGACTATCTGGAAGAAAATGGTGTTTTTGAGGATATGTGTACTTACACTGCCATTAAGAAAGACAATCTCCGTCTTCCAAGAAAATGTTTAGTTTTCCCTTTAATAGAGAAGGTACAAAGTTAAGTTTAACTCTTGAAATTTTCAGAGACCAAAAAGGAAGTTTCCAGAAGGCAAACCCAGCTTTGAAGGGGCAAAGGCCACTTTCTGTAAAAATTACTCCTCCCCCCC